CCCCCGCTGACTCCTGTTAACATTCTGTATTTTGAAACCAAGTGTCTGCAGCATCGGATGCGTTACCACAGACGTTGTACCTAGACATTAAAACCTGAAGCCTTTGAAAATCCTCATATAATAATATAACATAACATTATAATATAATATAAGCACATTCTAACTGTACTATCACACTTTATTTAGTAGTACATTAATGAGGCGCAACAAGCTGTGGCCTACTTTGTATCAATTTAGACAAACTTGGAAAAAACACCATAAAAACACTAGTCTACTACACCTCACACAGAAATTGACCTTATTCAAGCTCCACAGCAGCGTCAACACAGACATAGCACCACACATCCCAAACAGCAAAGCGATATTAATTCCCAATAAAGTTTGCGATATATGACTAAATGAAATACCCAGTAACTAACAAATGCAAACGTAGATAAATTTGTTATTATTGTGCATTAAATGGTCTTATAGCAGCTGGTTACACACAGTGTCACATATACAGTAATGACACTGTATGTAACATATATCGCACTTTCCCAATATAACAGTATGTCAAACCACACCACCCTATCTCTTCTCCCACTTGGATGTTGTTTGGACTCCTGCGAAATTTCTCTTGGATACGTCGGCGACACTTCGGTCCCATACAGGTTAAGACACGTCACCTCACCCTCCAACCCAAGCCATCCAAATAAACCCGTCTGGGCTCTGAGTTGCGATATTGCAACTGTGTGACCTGTTGCGCGCTGACTTGAGTTCACAGTGCAGTTTTCTTGTTATAAGCAATAACTGACCCTCTTATAAAAGACCCTTTAAATATGTTTCCTTCAAGCGCACCATTTAAATTTCTAATAAAGTATATAATCATATAATTGGATCTCACATTGTTCTAGGTAGTGCACTATAGTCCCTGATTAGGCCTTAATTTAAATGTAAGGTAGCTAATTAGGATATGAGCGTGTTTATTTACCATCTAATAAAGAACATTTTCATTCTAGTTGTGTTTCGCTTGATTCAAAACAAGTTTTATTACATTCAACATAAACCGATTGCCGCTGAAGTCTCGACAGATTCTTCTAAATTTCTACTTTTTAATCTACTGTCGTAATCAGGATACATATTTAACATGTCCAGCAGGGTGATTTATAACTAAAACGCTTCAAAGCTACTCCCAACGCTGCTTCCAGGTTTTCCTTGAACCTTTATCAGTGTAAAAAGTGCCACAGCCATCTTTGTATAAACATTGCTTCGGTGCTCATTCATCTATAGAAATGACAAATAAATAAACCGCAAGCCATTATCAGCATCGTGTTACGACCCCAGCGCTAAATGTGTGTAGCAGTTTTGTGAGTGAAGAGGCTGCTCTCCCTCCTGTCAAGGCTGTGGCTCGCCGCTTTTATTTTGACTGCGCCGCTCCTAATTGGAGCGTTGAGTTCTTTATTCAGACAGCTTTGTATCTTGGATACCGGTGATGTCACTCGCGGTGGACTTTTGGACTCCGCTGATTTCTCGAACAATTGAGAGAGAGGACCGAATTCAAAAGGAAGGAGGAGGTTTAATTCCTTCAGATCCATTTTGTTGAGTGTCCATGGCAACAAGCTGCTATTGTCTGAGCGCCGCTGTGAATAAATCGAAAAATCTTGTGCACAAGATCGCACAATCCGGCAAATCCGCTCCCCGTACCGCATTACTTAACCTTCTTATTAATGAAGTTCATTCGGTTTCAGGGTTTTCTTTTCTGTATTCTTTAACTTCTTCCAATCAGTCTGCTCAGCGCCTGCATCAGGATTCAAACTCTTAGGAATGTGTAGTGTTTTCTTAAAATTCATGCCCACTCACTTGTCACCTCCCCGTGCCTCTCCCTCTGTCTCGCTCCCTCAGAGTCTGTCGTTAACATTTTAAATTTTGGACGTTCAAACTACACCATCGCTTTGCCCCCAGGGTCTCCGGTCTCATCCCTCACCGAGGCTCTCTCCTCTTGTCTCCCCAGAACCTCGACGCTAATGTGACTTTAATTTGTGCAGCAGCGATGATGTAGCTCTAATGGCCGGGCATTAGCCATCCCAGCTCTGCATTCCTTGTTATTAAAGTGCTACACTGTCCTTGGGAAATGTCTGCTTCTCTTCTGCTGCTCCTGCTGCTGCTCTGCAGGCGTTGCGACGTGAGACTCTTAACTGGAAGTAACGTGTTTTTGCACTCGCAGCCACCTGCGCCAACTGGGAAGTGGGCTTTGAAATTTCTGTTTCATTGCATTTTCTATGTCTAGCAGGTAGAAAATGGAGCTCTGAGAAGCAGGAGGCGGTGGGAATGGAAAGAACAAGAGAGGCTGTGTGGTGGGAAGTGTATAATTAAGAACCCCCACCCTCCCCCCGCCTCACAGGAGCCACTGTTTCATGTAGATAGCGTTAATGATACGCAGCTCCCCGAAATGCTTGCGTAACCCATTTTTATTATTTAAATTATTCACAGGAACAAGCCCCTTAATTTAATAAACTGTAAACTTCTCCCCGGCAGATTCCTCGAACACACACATATTAACACACTCGCCACACAGGCCGTTTGACCGCTGAACTACGCGGGCCGATTTTGGAAAAAGTCGCCGCACACTCGAGTGGCTTTATTGCCGCGTCGTGAGCCATTGCACCGATGGGGTCCTCTGGCCAAACCAGCCTTGTCATTGTCCTTGAGCGGGGGAGAGTTTGTCAAGGATTAGACGCGGCCAGCCGCTGGCAGGCACACTTCTCATCCCGTCCTCAGCGACGGCTAATCCTCAGGACGGCTTCCTATTTGGAGCCACTTGGCACAACTCAAACCCGAGTGAAGGGAAAACAGGAAACACGGGCCGAGGTTGCCCGTGCTGCTGCTTTAGGACGAAAGCAGAAGACTTGTTCTCTGCCTCGAGTATGAATAAGTAATGAGCTGGAACAGAGGGGGATGTTATTTAACGCAGATACTTCTGTCAGCATAGATGAGAGGTTTTTCCCCCTCTCTCCTCTTATTTCAGGGTGCATTGCTGAAATGATGTGTAAACTGTGTTTAGGCGCAGATGTTTCTAAAGCCAGCCACAAGGTGCTAAACAATTGGATGAGTTTTGAACAGAGAGAAAAAAAAAAAAAAATGCACAGTATGATCTCTTCGGCCCGTTGTCCTCAGGTAACCGTCTGAGCCGAGCGGCTGGAGAGATCTTTTTTCTCTCTTTTCCCCCCCTTCCCACTCCCACTCTCTCTGTTTTGCTGCAGACAGCCACTCACACCTGAGCACCCTCCTGCATTCTCGGGATGTCTTTCTTGATTTTTCTCCTCTTATTTTTCCCCGCCGCCCCGCCCCTCGCTCTCCAGTTGTCACCTGCACTTTGCCTCCGTAAACCTCTCCTCCTCACTCCGTGCCACGTTCGCTGCCCCTCCTCCTCTTCCACAGCCCCTCTGATGAAGGCAGAAGTCCAACAGGAGGTCCATTTGCATTTATATCACACATGTAATGTGCTCAGTAGTCTTATGGCCGGGGCCGAACAGCATGGTATCAACACGACACTTTGGGAATGGCACGCCTGTCATCTCGAGCCCTCATCCCAAGGCTAATTTCACATGAAACATGAGTGCAGCAGAGGAGATTTTAATGCAACCTGTCCGGGCTACCATCGCTCTCTCCCTCCCTCCCATTTTCATCACCTCACCACAAAGCCCGGCTGACACTCTCTGAAAATCATCCCTGTGCTTGTGTTTTATTTGCGACTAAACCCTTTCCCACCCCCTTAAAACTGATTGGTCCATTTCTTATTTAGGCTGCTTGCGTGAACTGTGAATCTTTGTGTCATGCCCACCCCATCTTTTACAATTTTACATAATTTAATAAAGCAGTAATGTCAAAAAGAGGGGGGGGGGAAAGTAACAAGAATAACAAGGGGACACCCCCAACCTTAACCCCACCCCCTCCACCGCCACCCCTCAAGTCGGAGGAAAATAAATGGTTCAGCACACCCCCAAAAGGCTCCCTGCAAATCCTGATTCTCATGTCTCTCTCTCCCTTCTCCCTCATGTTTTTGCATTTCAAAGAGCAGCGGTGGTCTTCCGAGTGTGTCCAATTAAGTCTCCCAACTCATTTCTTATTTCTTGTTTTCCTCTTCATTAGGATAACGTGACTGATCAGATCTACCAAAGCGCTGAGACGCTGCTCAAGAACCTGGGAACCAGGGACAACGTCAAGGTATTGTTGTGAATGTACATTACACCGAACACGGGATGAAAGTTTAACGACCGCAGAGGTGAAATCAGCCTCGTGCGGTGCAAAAACAGGCTACAGAGGCAGCGAATACCCAAACACAAGGCCATAAACTCATCTATCTCACTCAAGCCAAATGCTTGATATAGAATTGTGATGCTTTAACTGCATAATGAGCCTCATTGTGGGTTAAGACCTGTATAACTGAATTTAAATCAAAAGCAGACAGTGCCATAAATAATTTAGCAGCTACATCCTGGAGATTTAGTCTCTAACTAAACTAAACAAAAAAATGTGATCACTTGTTGCTATTCTGAAGCCTTTCTGTTCTGCTGTGCTAAACATAAAAAACCCACAAAAAAACCTGCTAACCCAAACTTGAGCTTTCCAAGCGCCAATAAATGAATTTGTGTTTCCATTTTCCATCTGGTAATGAATTAAAAAGGAGTCTTGAAGTAAGTAAGCACGCTCTGCGAGTTGAGTACATTTGTGTTTAATGCTGAAATACTGCCGAAGCTGTCCTATAAAAGTGTCTCACACTTATATTTCTCATTCTGAGGGAAGAAAATTTGCTTCTCCCCCAGAAGCACTTTGATGCTTAAAGTAGTTTCAGAAGTGGAAATGTGGCTTGCCATCATATCTTACATATTTTTCGCTCTATCACCCTCATGTATTTAGCAGACAAGCTTAGCTTACGATCTGTTATCTCGCATACATCAAATGGTATTTTAGCTGTAGACCTTTCAGAAACTGCTGGATGGGAGGAAAAAAACAAAAAACAAAACAAAACAGAAAATAATATCTATTTTTGTCCATCTCCTCTTGTGAGATACAAGAAGAAGAAAGGAGAACACAGCAGCAAGCAGACAGAAAGAGACGTGTGTGTGCGCGTGTGTGTGTGTGTCTGTGTGTGTGTATGTGTGTGTGTGCGCGCACTTCCAGATTTCTCCACGTCCTCCTCTGTGATGCGGTGCTATGTTGGGCTGACACTCAAACACCATCCACTCTTAATTAGCGTTGCACTATCAGCAGGGAGCTCTCCCTCACTCCAACTCTCTTTCATCCATTCTTTTTCTTCTACAAGCAGCCTCAAACTCAGGGAATCACTTACAGTATAAACAGAAGGCACGCTCAGAAACAACAATGGGAATGTGCATCAGTAGCAATAATGTACCGTATTGTGTGCACGATCTTTGTGCATGCGTGCTGCACAAAGATCTGAAGGACCAACACTGTCTCATCAATGTGCTTATTAGAATACTGAGTTCAGATGCCAGAGTCATACACAAGGTGCCCTTTGGTCCTTTGATGCACTGACAGGCCGGTGAGTGGTAACCACTTTATTCTAGAGACTTACAGTACTGTGCAAAAGTCTTGAGCCACCCCATAATGCTTTCTTATAGTTCTCTTAAAACAATAGTTCTCCCAACTTTTTGAAGGTTTTTTCTTTTTAGACATTGGCTGCTTTTTCCACTCATTGTAAGTCCGGTCTTATCTGACCATTATTGGTTTAAGCCACTTAACACTGACCTATGAATCATTCAAGCATCAAAAATGCACCTAACTGAAGGAGGAATCAGTTTATACACTCTTTTACTAGAAGCCTGTAATAAAAACATATTCTTTCAATTTCTTTAGTCCAATATATGAAAGAAATTGCAAAAGAACAAACAAATTTTACAAGATCTGGGCTGAAAGTCAGTGATACAGAGATAAAACAGTGAGTGTCTACAGCCATCTGTAAAACACGGTGGAGGCTCTGTCATGATCTGGGATGCATTTTAATCAGTGATGTTGGGGATCTAGTCAAAATCGATGGAAATATGAAAGTACCATCAGATTTGATCCGCAATGCAACACCATCTGGAAATGACCATCTGTCGTTGATTGGAAATGGCTTGACAATAGCATGATCCCACACACACACAGTGCTAATGCCGTAAAAGCCGTAAAAGCAGACCTGCCAACATCCAAAGAAGAGCTTTGAATGTGCTTCAAAAAGCCCGGAGATCTATTCCTGAAGATTACTTCAAGAAATGACAAGAAAGCTGCCTCAGAGAGTTCAGACTGTGTCAAAGAATAAAGGCAGTCATGCCAGATATTGACTTTCAATGTGTATTTTCACATTTCAATAAATTTCCTGCTAAATGTTCCAATTTTCTATGAAAATATAAGGAAATGATGGGTGGCTAAAAACATTTGCACAGCACTATACTCGCTGCATTAGGAGGCTGTAGCAGAGCTCATGATAGTCAGCCCAGAGATTATGACTCACATCCCTTTGGGACCTTTTTGTTTTGCTCTTTTTATTGACTGAAAGAATAAAAAGCCGTTTTTTGTCTTTACTCACGCTTCTAGAGTTTCACACAAGCAACTCTGCACGTTACCGTGCACTAATGCCACAACCTGCTGCGCCAGGCTCCACATTTGAAGTGCACCTCGTGCATAAAGCGAGCCGCATCAGCAGCTTGGATAAGCAGCATTAATTGACGCCCCGCTAATGAGATCCGGATAGTAGTAAATCCGTAAATGACACAGACAACTCTTTACAGTGGTGATATTTTGCCCTTTCTTCTGTTACACTAAAGTGTCCACACCGTGTTTGCTTTCTGGTACTTTTGTTGGTGTCACGTTGCTGCTAAAACACACCCAGCAGACAGATTCTGCCCTGATCTTTTATTCACTACCACATTGGGTAGTTAATTTCTCCCTTTTCCAAAGAAAGCCACCTCAGAATTAAGAGGGCACATCCTTCATCACTGACCTGTTCCACAGTTTTAAAAAAAGTAAAGATTAGAATTGAATCTTCACCTCTCCACGTCGTCTCTCGGTTATCTCTCCCTTCATAATCTGCCTGTTTTATTTTATTTTTCCTATTATTTGTCCACAAGTCTTACCTGATGTAGTTGCTAGGAGACATGGGAAGCAAATGCAAACCCCTCGACATGCTGTTCTCTGTACCAATTGTCTGTTCTACTGCAGGTGTGGTTCTACAACCAGCTGCGGCACGCCGTGGCGTCCTTCTTTAGCGTGGCCAACAACGGCATCCTGAGAGGAAATCTGCCAGCGGGACAGGACCCGCGCCAGTACGGCATCTCCGTCACCAATCACCCCCTCAACCTCAGCAAAGAGGAGCTCGCCAGTGCGGCCATGTGAGTCATCGGGCAAAAAAACAGGGGTTAAAGCTTTCTTCTTAACCTCTTTATAAAGATTTTGTTTGGGTCCATATTAGGAACAGGGCTTCTCAAATACTGAATAGTACATCATTTGGTTAGTATAACTGTCCAGAAAGGTAGTGTAGTGCTAGTACCTCACAAGAAAGGTAAAAATGTTCTGCATTTGAACTTGCTGAACTTTGTAGAGTTTGCATGTTCAAGTCCAAAAAAATAAAACCAACAACCCACGCACATGGAGTAAAACTGTGACTCCAGATTACCTTTAGATGTGGATGTGAGCCTGAGCCTTGGTTTGACTTCAAGCACAAGCTACTAACAGTATACTGGGAGAAAAGCCCCTAGCCTGCAGTTTTCTCCCAGCCTTTTGACGCGCGCAGCTACGACGATGCATTTTCTCATGTTTG